CAAACTGCAGAGGACAGTGCAGGCTTTAACATGAGAGCCTCAAAAAAGAGAAAAGAGAATCTAAACTGGACTGGGATTAAGACTCTCCCAGGCTCTGTTATATGTACAACTTAGCAGCTGGTGCAACATGAAGAAGCTATATTTACTCTTGTGCACTACCCCCTATCACATAGATGTGCATACATGTGTACAACACATAATGACTTCCCTCTTTCACAAGCCTACATTAATCTCGGCATCTCAGGCATAAGTGCTTAGACAGAAGAGTCTCCATGAGGTTCGTGTTCTTGGATAAAACAAGATGAGGAGGCCAGAAACCTTGATTTTAGTCCTGGGTCTGCCAATAACTAGCTATGTGACTTTAGGTAAGTCACCAACTCTAGACCTCAGTTTTTTCATCTGTAAAATGAATCTGTGGGGAAGAAAGAATATCATGCTCTGGTTCAGAGGTCTGGGCTGCTTACCTTGATCTGCCTACGGATGAGGTCTCTAGTTATGTTGACTTTTGCCATCTTCTCTTATGAGTTCAACAGAAGGAAACTATAGAAGAATCTTCAGGACCCTTGAGCATTCCAGCCAAGCCCAGGTCCACAAGACACACATTTAATTACCTAAGGGGGAAAAAAAATCATCAAATCTTGGGGGATGGAATAAGGTGGCTTCAGAGCCCTAATTCCATACCTAAAACAGCCCACTCAGGTACCTAGTGAACTGGCTATTGCCTGTGATTTATGGCACGTTAGGCTGGCTCTGCTCCATAGTGTGGAAGAACCTCTGGAATGGGTGAAGGGGTGGGGACGACAGTGACTCACAGTCACAGGAAGCATTAGAACAAACACTGAAGGAGATATGTATACTTCACTAGAAAATAGTGGGGTTGGATATAAGTATGAAGGAAGATGGTAGCATATCCTGAAAGTTAGAACAAGGCACAAAGCTAGAAAGACATCAAGTTTCACTTGTTCCATATGCATCTGTGGCAGCCTGTCTGAACTTTCAATTATGCTTCACATCTCTGACCCTTAGCTTAGCTCTCCCTGAAGCCAAATCAGTCTCACAGATAGAACCCTTAACCTTCTAACAGATTCATAGAATCAAAAAATAAAAAGGAAGTGTTATGGTGATTGTGCCAAGATTCAACTTAATAAACAGATCCCTCTTCAACATCCTCCTAGGTAGGCATTTAGTCTCAACAACTCTTTTCTTTCTATTTTTAGTAGAGACAGGGTCTCGCTCCTGCTCAGACTGGTTCTGAACTCCTGCCCTTGAGCGATCCGCCTGCCTCAGCCTCCCAGAGTGCTAGGGTTACAGGCATGAGCCACCGTGCCCAGCCTAGTCTCACCAACTCTATATGCAAACTATTCCTGTGCTATGTAACTCTGAAGGTTAGAAAGACCAATTAATCCTACTTCTGATAATTTATCATGAAAAATTTAAAACATAAGAAATAAAGTTCCATACCCAGGTATATTCATCAGATTTTTAACAGCAAAAAAATTAAAACCACTTAAGTTTCAATAACAGAGAAATGGCCAAATAATGTATAGCCATACATTATTATTACAGAGATTAGAAATGCTAATTATGAAAGAAAAATGCTCATATCATAATATTTATATAATAACATGTGGCTTTTTCATTAAACACTATTATCACAGCTATGTTTAAAAAAGGAAATATAGGCCGAGTGCCTACTCTCCAAGTGGGCACTCATTCCTGTGACTCACAGGCATAGGAATATAGGCCTCCAGAGTAGCTGGGACTACAGGCATGCACCATAATGCTTGGCTAATTTTTTCTATATGTATTAGTTGGCCAATTAATTTCTTAATTGGCCACCAATTTCTTGGTGGCTAATGCCTATAATCCTAGCATTCTGTGAAGCCAAGGCGGGAGGATTGCTTGAGCTCAGGAGTTGGAGACCAGCCTGAGCAACAGTGAGATCCTCTCTGAGAAAAAGAAAAAAAATAAAAATAAATAAAAAAGGAAATATAAAAAATAATATTAAATAATATTTTGGGGCCGAGTGTGGCGGCTCACGCCTGTAATCCTAGCTCTCTGGGAGGCCGAGGCGGGTGGATCATTTGAGCTCAGGAGTTCGAAACCAACCTGAGCAAGATCGAGACCCCGTCTCTACTATAAATAGAAAGAAATTAATTGGCCAACTAATATATATAGAAAAAATTAGCTGGGCATGGTGGTGCATGCCTGTAGTCCCAGCTACTCCGGAGGCTGAGGCAGAAGGATTGCTTGAGCCCAGGAGTTTGAGGTTGCTGTGAGCTAGGCTGATGCCACGGCACTCACTCTAGTCTGGGCAACAAAGTGAGACTCTGTCTCAAAATAAATAAATAAATAAAAATAATAATATTTTGGGGTAATACTATGTTTTTTTCTTCTACTTTGATATTTTTAAAAATTTTCTATAAAAGCACATTAACTTTGTATTCAAATTTTTAAAAACTAAATTTTTAAAGACAGTCTGTCTTCTGTTACTTCCAACTTTTGGCTCTGGTTCCACTTTCGGAGCCACACAGGAGAAGTCTAGTCTTTCTTCCCAGTGATGGCCCTTTGTGCAGTGGAGATGGCTCTCAGGATTCACCAGGCCTCCCTGCCAACCTCCTAGCTCTCAGGACATCCCAAGGCCACTTCCAGATCTCCCACTAGGTGTCCTCCTGAAGATTCCTAGCACACCCTCCAGAAATCATACCTTCTCTGCCTTATCTGTGAGCAGACTTCTTTCTTTCCTTTGGCATTTAACCACAATAGGAAATGCAACATCTAAACCAGGCATCCTCAAACTACGGCCTGCAGGCTACATGCAGGTGTTTTTGCCTGTTTGGTTTTTTTTACATTAAAATAAGATATGTGCAGTGTGCATAGGAATTTGTTCATAGTTTTTTTTAAACTATCGTCCGGCCTTCCAATAGTCTGAGGGACGGGTGAACTGGCCCCCCGTTTAAAAAGTTTGAGGACCCTTGATCTAAATATTATGTTATTGCAGATATTTTTTTCCTTTACTGTAAGGGACACAGTAGGACAATTTAAAAACTTGCTGCTAGATTAAAGTTCGAATTCAGCCTGAGTTCCTTCGGGCTAATGCTTCGATGATCAATTTTTGAGATCATAAGCTCTTTTTTTTTTTCCAGACAGAGTCTCACTTTGTTGCCCAGGCTAGAGTGAGTGCCGTGGCTTCAGCCTAGCTCACTGCAACCTCAAACTCCTGGGCTCAAGCAATCCTACTACCTCAGCCTCCCAAGTAGCTGGGACTACAGGCATGTGCCACCATGCCCAGCTAATTTTTTCTATATATATTAGTTGGCCAATTAATTTCTTTCTATTTATAGTAGAGACAGGGTCTCACTCTTGCTCAGGCTGGTTTCAAGCTCCTGACCTCCAGCAATCCGCTCGCCTGGGCCTCCCAGAGCGCTAGGATTACAGGCGTGAGCCACTGCACCCGGCCGGGATCATAAGCTCTTAAAAGGGCATGAACCTTCCCTTACAACATGGAAGCCATTCAGCATTGCATCTTAGTGACATTACCAGGAAGATATGGCAGTTACCGGCACTATTTGGGGGTCATGAATCCTGTGAGCACCAAGAACATCATGAATACCAGCTGAAAAGTATAGTTTCATACTGACTTTTTCAGGGGCCTCTGGCCATCAAATCAAAAATGTGATTTTGAGCAACTTAATAGAAGCTAAACACTGGCCTGTAAGTGTGTCTATAGCTCTGGTTTGTTAAAGCCAAAACAATGATAATTTCCCCACAATCACTAAGAATACAAGATGAGGCTTATAATGGAAATAACACTCAAGTCTGAGTATATCTGGTTTAAGTAAGAACAGTTGTGTGACCTTGCTCAAGTTTCTTAATCTCTCCAAGTAGGCACTCATTCCTGTGACTCACAGGCATAGGAAGCACTGGAACAAACACGGAAGAGCCTATGTATGCTTCACAAGAAGAAGGCTCATTCCTTACCTCCTAAAACCCTTTTCTTTGGATGACTGCTGTTGAGGTCACATGAAATAATGGAAGTCAAAAGATTTTTCTTTGGCCAGGTGCGGTGGCTCACGCCTGTAATCCTAGCATTCTAGGGGGCCAAGGTGGGCAGATTGCTCGAGGTCAGGAGTTCGAAACCAACCTGAGCAATAGCAAGACCCCGTCTCTACTATAAATAGAAAGAAATTAATCACAACCAGTTACAGATTCCTTTGTTCCTTCTCCACTCCCACTGCTCCACTTGACCAGCCTTAAAAAAAAAAAAAAAGAAATTAATTGGCCAACTAGACCCCGTCTCTACTATAAATAGAAAGAAATTAATTGGCCAACTAATACATATAGAAATAATTAGATGGGTATGGTGGCACATGCCTGTAGTCCCAACTACTCAGGAGGCTGAGGCAGTAGGATTGCTTGAGCCCAGGAGCAAGAGGTTGCTGTGAGCTAGGCTGACGCCATGGTACTCACTCTAGCCTGGGCAACAAAGTGAGACTCTGTCTTAAAAAAAAAAAAGTTTTTTCTTTGAAGAATATAAATGTTTTTATCTGCTAAGAAATACTATGTTAACAAATATGCACTTAGTATGTGCCAGACACTGTGATAAGTGCTTTATATTCATTAATTCAACAAATGAACACAGGAAGCTTCTACTATATGGCAGGTACTGTTCCAGGCCCAGGGGATACAGCAGTGAGAAAAATGAGCAAAGTCCTCACTCTCATGGTACTTACATTTTAGCAGGAAGGAACGGACAATAAACCATGATATACAAGAAAATATCTGACAGTGAAAAGTGCTGTGATGACAATAAAACAAGTTGATGTGAGAGTGACTAGCACACTACTTTTAGCCTTGAGGGCAAAGAAGATGTAGTGGATATTTTGGAGTTTTCTGGCTGTTCAGCATTTGAATCCCTTCTTATATTTTGGGAATTCCCCATTTGAGTCTGATGAGAAGCAGAGCCCCTTCCCATTATGAAGTAAGAATGGTGGTGACTGAATTCTCTTTCCAAGGCTCCCTTGCAGCTAGAACGTACCCATACAGCCCAGGCTTTGCCAACCAGACACATTACCCCAGAACTTGAATCAGGATCTAGTGTCACAGAGTCAGAGGACCACAAAGAGTCCATGCTGGGGTGTAGCAAGAAATAATGGCCATTAAGTCCAGTGCAGCTGGCAGTAGCTGTGTAAGTGGTGCTGGCTGTGTAAGTGTCCTCACTGGATTGGTTCTATGAATGATTTGGGTTGTGGGTACTGCCTGCTGCTTAGTTTTCGGGGGTTTTTTTGTTTTTGTTTTTATTATTATTATTATTTTTTGAGACAGAGTCTCACTTTGTTGCCCAGGCTAGAGTGAGTGCCGTGGCATCAGCCTAGCTCACAGCAACCTCAATCTCCTGGGCTCAAGCAATCCTACTGCCTCAGCCTCCCAAGTAGCTGGGACTACAGGCATGTGCCACCATGCCCGGCTAATATTTTTTGTATATATAATTTTAGTTGGTCGATTAATTTCTTTCTATTTATAGTAGAGACGGGGTCTCGCTCAGGCTGGTTTCGAACTCCTGACCTTGAGCGATCTGCCCACCTCAGACTCCCAGAGTGCTAGGATTACAGGCGTAAGCCACCACACCCGGCCTAGTTTTCATTTTTTTGAGCCCATTCTTCAAGCCTGGCTCTGTGGCCTTTCCTGATGTTTTGGGAGTTTCCCTAATATCCTTTCAATAATCAGCCAGAGTTGCTTTCTGTTGCATACAACTACAAATCCTTACTGATACAGAGGGGCTGAGAAGATGACATTTAAGCAGAAACATGAATGACAAAAACTGGAGATAAACACTTCCAGGGAAAAAGTACTAAGGCTGTAAAGGAAGAGTGCTACAAAAAACTTGCCTGGAAGATGCTATTACTATCACCATTTTACAGATAAGAAAATAGACTTATGGACATGAAATACTTTTCACAATGTTACACAATTAATAAGTGGGAGCTGGAGCAGGAACTCAAACCCAGGGATGTATGATTTCAAAGTTCATGTTCTTAACCACTATGGTATGTAATTTCCTAGAACAACTATCATTATGAGAGTCCACCAAAAGACTCAATTAAATTGCCACTATTCATTCATTAATTTTCTCAAAATGCTGAGTATTTACCAAGCACCGTGCTACACACAGGAATATACTGAGATGAAAGATAGTATCCATACTAAGACAGCTCAAAATCAAAGGCAAGGGGCTTCAGCTAAGATTAGCATGTGACCTGAAAATATTAAAAGAAACAAGAGAGGGAAAAAAAGAGAAGCCAAACAAGCAGGAAACCACAACTCAGGTAAATGGTAAAATGGAAACTGGTATTTAAAATAATATCAGACTTTCACAGGCTTTTGGTAGAGTAAAAATAATAATAATAATAATAATGATATCAGACTGGTAGGCAGAGGTTTAAAAAACTAAAAGTCAAATCGGGCATGGTGGCTTATGCCTGTAATGCCAGCATTTGGACGGTCAACGAAGGAGGATTGCTTGAGGCCAGGAGTTCAAGACCAGCCTGAGCAACACAGTAAGAATCACCCCCATCTCAACAACAACAACAAACAATTTTTAAATCAAAATGTCAAATTAAATACAACTAATGCCTAGTTAGCATTTTGATGAACATTTCTGCTCTCATCCTCAGGAGAAATGATGGTACACTGGCTGATAGCTCATCTTGGAACATGACTCTCAAGGCAACAGGGATTCAGTGCCTTTTCAAAAATTTTTATAAGTGTAACTGGAAACACTTCTAAGCAGAGATTATTTAGAACGTTCATATCAACAGGGAAATACCCTTAAATCTACCAAGGGGCGCAACTAGTTTCATACTTCAGTCTAAAAGAGTCTCAAACACAAATAATCAGATCAATAAATCCATAGTTATTTGAAGATGAGGAAACTTAATCATGGTAAAATTTAAATGTGGCCAGGTGCAACAGCTCATGCCTATAATCCCAGCACTTTGGGAGGCAGAAGTGAGAGGACTGCTTGAGGCCAGGAGTTCAAGACCAGCCTGGGCCACAACAATATCCCATCTCTACAAAAAGATAAATAAATAAAATAAAATACAATTAGCTAGGCATGGTCATGCAACCTGTAGTCCTAGCTACTTGGGAGGCTGAGGCAGGAGGAGAGCTTAAGCCCAGGAGTTTGAGGTTCCAGTGAGCTAAGAAGATGCCACTGCACTCTAGCCTGGTCAACAGAGCAAGACCCTATCTCCAAAACAAATGAAAAACAAAATAGCAATTTTAAAAGCATTATTTTAAGCAGGACTCTGAAATAGTTAAGAAGCCAGATATGGAATGATATGAATGGGAGATTTGGAATTGACAAAAGGAAGTTACATATATGATTAAACACTAGAAAAGACTACATCAAGGGGATTTCTATCTCTGGTGCAGTATGCAAATTACATAATGTTCAGTTTTGGCCGAGAAGCAAAAAGGCTGAAATTAGTAACTTCAAGAATTCATAAAATAAAATCTTCAATGCTTATTATGCCAGGCATTGTGGTAGACTTTGAAAATACAGCAGAAAACAAGCCAAACACAGATCCTTCTCTTCAAGGGCTCATAATATAGTTGTCCTTAATTGAATATCAGTGGCACCAAGGCCATTGTAACCATAGAGAGACTGAAAAAAGGAAATTTAACTGAATGACCAAAAGGAATACCTAGGACAGTAAGGAATTTCATGTACTCAGAAGAAATACATGAAATAATAAATCTTATTTATACTCATTTATTCATATACCTCAGTAGAAAGCACAGAAATCACAGAAAGGGAAACGAACTAAACATATGAGAGTAGAGCAAGAAAGACAACTTGGAAATCACTAACAGAAAATGCGAACCATAACAGATCACAAGTAACTTTTAATGTGTATTCCTCATTCTAAAGACAGCACAATTAACAATATACCCTTCAGTTTCCTTCTTGCCAGAAAAACAAACAAACAAAAAACAATATGCCCTGACTCTCACACTTAAAGCTCTAATAATGCTGAGGGCTGATATGTTTGCAGAATATGAAAGTTCAACAAAAAGTTTCTCTAGTTAGAGGACAAAGGTTTAAATGTGATTTCTACCATAATTTAGGATATTGCAGACTGGCTCTAGTAGATACTTAACAAAAAGGAAGAGGATTTCCGGGAGGTAGAATTATGAAAAATATAAAAATACCTAAGGCACAGAGGAAAACATATGACATAATGTTACAAAGAAAATATGAGATGCTAGGCAGATGTTACACTTCCCAAAATGTATTCTATTCCTGGAGCTCTAAAATGGCTAGCATGTCAACACTTAACCCCATCACTTCCATAAACTTTCTTTTCTTCTTTTGTAGACAGGGTCTTGCTCTGTCGCCCAGGCTAGAGTACAGTGGCATCGTTGTAACTCACTGCAACCTCCAACTCCTGGGCTCAAGCGATCCTCCTGTCTCAGTCTCCCAAGTAGCTAGGACTACAGGTATGTGCCACCACACCCGGCTAATTTTTCTATATTTTTGTAGAGACAGGTCTCACTCTGTTTTTCAGGCTAGTCTTCAACTCCCAGCCTCAAGTGATCCTCCCACCTCAGCCTCCCAAAGTGCTAGGATTATAGGTGTGAGCCATCCACAAACTTTTAATTTAGGCTACTGGGAAAGTTTTTTCTAAAGTTTTTTCTGAATATATCTCTACAAATACAAAGGAAGGTAACAAGAAAATAAAATTCAGGCCAGGCGCAGTGGCTCATGCCTGTAATCCTAGCACTCTGGGAGGCTGAGGTGGGCGGATTGCTCAAGGTCAGAAGTTCGAAACCAGCCTGAGCAAGAGTGAGACTCCCATCTCTACTATAAAATAGAAAGAAATTCATTGGCCAACTAATATATATAGAAAAAATCAGCCGGGCATGGTGGCACATGCCTGTAGTCCCAGCTACTTGGGAGGCTGAGGCAGGAGGATCACTTGAGCCCAGGAGTTTGAGGTTGCTGTGAGCAAGGCTGACACCACGGCACTCACTCTGCCTGGGCGACAAAGCAAGACTCTGTCTCAAAAAAAAAAAAAAATTAATTGGCCTACTAAAAAAATATAGAAAAAATTAGCCGGGCATGATGGTGCATGCCTGTAGTCCCAGTTACTCAGGAAGCTGAGGTAGGAGGATCACCTGAACCCAAGAGTCTGAGGTTGCTATGAGCTACACTGACGCCACGGCTCTCTAGCCTGGGCAACAGAGTGAGATTCTGTCTCAAAAAAAAGAAAAATATATATGTATGAAAGAACATAACAGTACGTGGATCATAGTAGATGCTCAACAGATGTTAGACAAATTTGTATTCTACTAAAACCTGGTAATGCCTGTTATATATGCTATGCTCAATAGCATGGATTACAACATTTCTCCCTTATTTGCCTACCAGAGACGAAGCTGACATTGGAGATTTCATTATAGGATGGATGAGGCAAAGAGTATATAGGAAGCCTTTATCACCTCTACTAGGTTTGAAATGCAAGAGCAGAAAGGAAAATATGACTTTGTTAAAAACAAAGGAACTGCAAACTGCAAACAAACATCTGTACAAAAATGTTTACAGCAGCATTATTCAGAATAGCCAAAAGGGAGAAATAAACATCCATCAGCTGATGAACAGATAAACAAAATGTGGTATATCCTTACTTGAGGGGGGAGGGGGCGCATGGGCAATATATGTAACCTTAACACTTCTACCTCCATAATATGCTAAAATAAAAAAAAATAAATTTAAAAAAAAAATGTGGTGGCCGGGCGCAGTGGCTCACGCCTGTAATCCTAGCACTCTGGGAGGCTGAGGCGGGCAGATTGCTTGAGGTCAGGAGTTCGAAACCAGCCTGAGCAAGAGCGAGACCCCGTCTATAAATAGAAAGAAAACTAATTGGCCAACTAATATGTATAGAAAAAATTAGCCTGGCATGGTGGTGCATGCCTGTAGTCCCAGCTATTCGGGAGGCTGAGGCAGAAGAATTGCTTGAGCCCAGGAGTTTGAGGTTGCTGTGAGCTAGGCTGATGCCACGGCACACACTCTAGTCCGGGCAACAAAGTGAGACTCTGTCTCAAAAAAAAAAAAAAAAAAATGTGGTATATCTATATAATGGAATGTTATTTGGCCATAGAAAGGAATGAAATAGACACATGCGGCAACATAGATGAACAATGGTAACGCTATGCTAACTGAAAGAAGCTTACATATTGTATAATTCCATTTATATGAAATGTCTAGAATAGAAATAGAAAGTAGATTAATGGTTGCTTAGAGCTGAAGGGGATAGGGGAATAGAAGAGTGATAGAAAACCCCATACCCATTAAGTAGTTAGTCTCCATCCTCTTCCCACACCCCAGCACCTGGCAACCACCAACTGGCTTTCTGTCTCTATGGAATCCTATAATATGTGGCCTTTGTTTGAGTCTGGTTTCTTTTACTTAGCATTATGCTTTTCAGGTTCATCCATGTTGTAGTATCAGTACCTCATTCCATTGTATTGTTATACCATATTGTGTTCATCCATTCATCTGCTGGCTGTTGTAAACAGTGCTGCTATGAACATCTGTGTACAAGAATCTGTTTGGATATCTGTTTTCAGTTCTTTTGGTCATATACCTAAGAGTAGAATTGCTGTGTCATGTGGCAATTCTATGTTTAACTTTTTGAGGCATCATCAACTTGTTTTCCACAAGTGGCTACCCCATTTTACATTCTCACCAGAAATGTGTGAGGGCCCCAATTTCTACATATCCTTGCCAATATCTGTTATCTTCTGTTTCTAGTTTTTAGTTTGTATTTTTAAAGTATAGCCATCCTACTGGGTATGAAATAGTATCTCATTGTGGTTAGGGTTCTTTTTGAGGTAAGAAAAATGTTCTGGAAATGACTGTGGAGACTGTTGCACACACTTGTGAGTATACTAAAAACCAATGACTTGTATACTTTAAATGGGTGAATTGTTTGTGGTATGGAAATTATATCACAATAAAACTGTTGTTTAAAACCTACAAAAATGAAAGAATATAGGCAACGACATGGACAATCTCACAAATTTTGAATGACAGAAGCCAGACATTAAAAAGCATGTACTATATGATTCCATTTATATAAAATTCTAGAATAGGCAAAACTATTGCGGGGGGGGGGGGGTCCACAACAGTGTTGCCTGGAGGCTTGAGGACCAAAAAGGACACCTGAGAACTATCTAGAGTGACAGAAAGGTTCTATATATTGATGAGAGTATGTTACATAGGTATATCAAAACTATACAATCAAGATTAGTGCACGGTTGGATGCGGTGGTTCATGCCAGTAATCCTAGCACCCTGGGAGGCCGAGGCGGGCAGATTGCTCGAGGTCAGGAGTTCGAAACCAGCCTGAGGAAGAGTAAGACCCCGTCTCTATTATAAATAGAAAGAAATTAATAGACCAACTAATATATATAGAAAATATTAGCCGGGCATGGTGGCGCATGCCTGTAGTCCCAGCTACTCGGGAGGCTGAGGCAGTAGGATTGCTTGAGCCCAGGAGTTTGAGGTTGCTGTGAGCTAGGCTGACACCATGGCACTCACTCTAGCTGGGCAACAAAGCGAGACTCTGTCTCAAAAAAAAAAAAAAAGATTAGTGCACTTTAATATATGTAAACTGTACCTAAAAAAATTGAATGGGGGGTAGGAAGTAAGGGAGGTATAGATGGAATCAGAATGGTAGCGCATTGATAGTTGTTAAAGTAGGATGATGGGTGCATGGGGGTTCGTTGTTCTGTTCCATTCTGTTTACTTTGCACATATTTGGAATTTTTGTAATAAAATCCTTTAAAAAATTTTTCTTTCCTATGGTAAAGTCATTTAAAACATGGATGACTGATTAATGAAATGGAAAATCATATAAAGTTAATATATTAGGTCCAGACACATATATGGCCATCTCAGTCTCAAGGGGGAAAAAGTCAAACCAAAAAAGTGTAATGCTATAATTAGAAGGATATACCAAAGATGTTAGCCAGTAGTCATCTCTTTGGTAGGAAAAAAGATGATATTGGTTATTTTCCAAATATTCTGCAGGAAAACATTTACTGTTTTTACAATAAGGTAGAAATAGCAGTTACGAACCACCTCTGGACTGAAGGAAACTTGAGTTTGAATCTGGCTCTACTACTTGGCAGGTTGTGTGATCTTGGGCAAAACCCTCTCAACATCTGTTTTATTCACCTGGAGCATAGGTATATATTACAATATCTATAACATAGATATTATAGGGTTACTGAGAACACTAAATGAGATAATGCATTGTAAAACACTTAGCATGTGGTAAGTGCTCAAGAAACACTGGCTATTTCTTCATCTGTTACATGGAGATGATAATATTAAATAGTACCAACATCATAGGGCTGTTGTGAGGATTACATGGGATAACTATCACACTGTAAGTACTTACTATGTGTAAGTGACAGCACTATATGCAATAAGAAAACATCATTGATCCTTTTGTAGTTCAGAAGCGTGATGGTTGGGTTTTCACGCGCATGCGTGAGATGTGCCTCCCTCATACCTTATTACGACATCGGCACATTACCCGTCTGACATGAGAAAAAAAAAAAGAAAACATCATTTAAGAAAAGCCCCACTTTAGAAAGTTAAACACAGAGTTGCTATATGACCCAGCAATTCCATTCCTAGGTATATATCCAAGAGAATTAACAATATATGTCCACACAAAAACTTGTACATGAATATTAATAGCAGCAATATTCATAATAGCTCAAAAGCGGAAACAACCCAGATGTCTGTCAACTGATGAATGAATAAATACAATGTAGTATATCCATATAATGGAGTATCATTCAGCCATACAAAGGAATAAAGTACGAATTCATATTACAACTGATGAAACTTGAAAACATTATGCTAAGTGAAAGAAGCCAGTCACAAAAGACCACTATATGTATTATTCCATTTATGTGAAATATCTAGAATAGGAAAACCTATAGAGACAGAAAGTAGATTAACAGTTGCCTAGGGCTGAGGAGGAGAGGGGGGGTAATTGCCAGGTGGGTCATTATAGCTCAAGGGTATGTGTTTCTTTTTCAGGTGACAAAAATGTTTTCAATTAGATAGCGGTGACAGCTGCACAACTTTGTGACCATATTAAAACGGATGTGGACCAGGTATGGTGGCTCACACCTATAATTCTAGTACTTTGTGAGGTGGGAGGATCACTTGAGGCCAGGAGTTGGAGATCAGCTTGGGAAACATGGCAAGATCATCTCTCTACCAAAAATAGAAAAATTAGTATGGTGTGGTGGCATTTGCCACCACTTGGGAGACTCTACTTGGGAGATTGAGGCAAGAAGATCACTTGAGCCCAGGAGTTTAAAACTACAGTGATATATGATTGTGCCACTGTACTCCAGCCTGGGTGATGGAGTGAGACGCTGTCTGTAAAATAATAAATAAATAAAAGATAGAGTGAGACGCTGTCTGTAAAATCATAAATAAAACTGGCCGGGCGGGGTGGCTTATGCCTGTAATCCTAGCACTCTAGGAGGCTGAGGTGGGAGAATCACTCAAGGTCAGGAGTTTGAAACTAGCCTGAGCAAGAGCAAGACCCTATCTCTACTAAAAATAGAAAGAAATTAATTGGACAACTAAAAGTATATAGAAAAAATCAGCCAGGCATGGTGGCGCATGCCTGTAGTCCCAGCTACTCGGGAGGCTGAGGCAGAAGGATTGCTTGAGCCCAGGAGCTGGAGGTTGCTGTGAGCTAGGCTGACGCCATGGCATTCTAGCCCAGTCAACAGAGTGAGACTCTGTTTCAAAAAAATTAAAAATAAAAATAAAACTGATGAATTATATACTTAAAAAAGAGTAGATTTTAAGGTATATGAATTATATGTCAATCATAAAGAAGAAAAAAAAGCCCTGAAATCCTTTTCTGCACCTAAAATCACAACTTAGAAAAGAAAATTTGGTTGTATTTTCTTTGTCCCCTACCTTGAGCAGTGGTTATTTATGTGGCTTTTCTTCCTTAAAAGACTAAAAGCATGCTGAAGGCCAGCTCTTCATCAGATGCATCTAATTGATCCCCTTTGTCACCCAGAAATGATGTCAGCTTAGCAGGCACCAATAAATATTTGCTTTTAGCAAATAATAGCATGACTACCTTGCATACATACAATGTTTTATAGCTGTCAAAGTGCTTTTGCTCATGATTTTAATTTGAACTTCATGACAGTCCTGTGAGGAAGCTAGAATGCTATTATTATCCCCATTTAACAAAGAATAACTGAAGCACAACATTATGTGGTGCTGAGGACAATGCACCCGACTGGGATCTAGGGTCTTGTGCTCCAGGCCAGCCTCTGCTTTTAATTGGCATTTCATACTCTCAGACTATTCATCATCTGTAAAATGACAGGGACTCTGAGATGAGCTACAAAACCCCTTCCAATGATACTATCCTATGATTCTAAGGAGATATTACTAATTAGCAACAGAACAGAGATGGAATAGAAATCATCTATTCTCTTTCCACTGGATGTACTACCTCCTATAGCAGGGAGGTGCTCCCAACCAGGGTGACAACTGACCCCCTTTCAACATTCTGAATTATGCAAAAAGATGTATGCAAGTTTCCTTTTACTCTGTTTGTAGTGGTTTTCTTATTGGAGCAATCCTATAGAAAAGAAGAAAAATGCCAGCATGGTAGCTCACACTTATAATCCCACCACTTTGGGAGGCCAACACAGGAGGATAGCTTAAGCCCAGGAGTTTTTGAGACCAGCCTGGACAACACAGTGAGACTGTCTCTTAAACTAAAAAAGAAAAGAAAAATTAGCCATGAGTGGTGGGAGCCTGAGGCAGGAGGATCACTAGAGCTCAGGAGTTCAAGGCTGTGGTGAGCTATGATCTCACCACTGCACTCCAGAGCCTGGGCAACAGAGCAAAACCTTGTCTCTAAAAAAAAAACAAAGGAAGAAATATGCAACAAAGTGACGACTGAGCTGTACTTTCTGTGCATAAAAGTCACTGGAAGTAGCATAATAAAATGAAGAGTTGAGCTGTGGAATATAACAGAACTACGGTTGATTCCATCTTCTATGGTGAAAGAAAAAAAAAAAAAAAACAACAACTACGGTTCAAATCCCAGCTCTGCCCCCTATTTTCTGTGAGACTTGACATTTCTAAACTTCAGTTTCCTAATCTGATATACCTACCTTTACAGGCTGATGAGGAATGGAAGAGCACACATATAAAATGTTTGACACTGAGCCCGGTAAGTAATATTTACTGAATATTCTGAACATTTTACAAGTGTTATCTTACAGACTCCTCATAACAACCCTATGAGACAGGAACATAATTATCCTCATTTTACATGTGCAGGATCTGAGGCACAGAAAAGTTAACTTGCCAAAGTCACACAGTTATTAAATGGAGAGTAAACCTAAACAGTCTGACTCTAGGGCCCAGGCCATTGGTCACTAAAAAATAATTACTATTACTGGTAGGCATGGTGGCTCACATCTGTAATCCTAGCACTTTGGGAGGCCGAGGTGGGAGTTCAAGACCAGCCTGGACAATAGTGAGACTTAGTCAGGCATGGTGGCATGCTGCACCTATAGTCACAGCTACTTGGGAGGCTGATGCAGGAAGATCGCTTGAGCCCAGGAGTTGGGGGCTGCAGTGAGCTATGATCATGCCACTGCACTCTAGCCCCGGGCAACAGAGCAAGACCCTGTCTCAAAAAAATTACTATCTTAAATCAGATCATGTCTCTAAGCAGTCTTGCCTAAAAAGAAATTGTCTTTTGCCATTTTTTTTTTTTTTTGAGACAGAGTCTCACTCCGTTGCCCGGGGTAGAGTGCCGTGGCGTCAGCCTAGCTCACAGCAACCTCCACTGGGCTCAAGCAATCCTTCTGCCTCAGTCTCCCGAGCAGCTGGGACTACAGGCATGAGCCACCACGCCCGGCTAATTTTTTTCTTTCTATTTTTTAGTAGAGACAGGTCTCGCTCTTGCTCAGGCGAGTGATCCTCCCACCTTGGCCTCCCAGAGTGCTAGGATTATAGGCGTGAGCCACCGTACCCGGCCCTCTTTTGCCATTCTTTAGGGTTAGGCTAAAGGGTCAAAATTGCCCTGTCTCTGCTGGTCTGAAACACAAATTTAAAGAGTGCCATTTTAGGGTCACAGACAAAGTTGGCACAGTTTCTGGAATGGTTTCTGGGAAAGGTGTGGCTGGTAGGACAGGCCCATCAGCAAAGTATCTTTGGAAAAGTTATTTGTCATCTTTGAGACTCCTGGCTCAAATGATCCCATATGGGACTGCTTGAAGCTTTCACTATAGAAGACTATCCTAAAAAATACTTAACTTTCTGAGAGGTTCTGGACAAAAATTCACCTTAATGTCTCCTCTGCCCCAATGGGATCTACATTGCCATTTGAGCTTTGTGGAAATTTTTCCTAGATGTCTCAGAACTTTGTTTTTCAGCAATCATAGCTAATTACCCTGCCTTCTCCTGGGCCCACAATTATCTTAAGGTAGTGGAAGAGAACAGAAGAAGGGGAGCATATTTTGATAATGCTGTCTTCTCTCACTACTTAAGAGCATTTGCAGTCATAGATTTTGCCTTTAACTTGCATCTTCACAAATCCTGCCACAATTCAAAGTACCTCTCATAGTGAAGCCTTTGAAGTTTCACCCTCTAACTCTACTCCTGGCAGAAAGATCAAGGAAAACTAAACCAATGAATTTGGAAATGCTTCCTTTCTAACTCAGTTGCAGCTGTTTTATATCCAGATGTGTGACTCAAAAAAGGAAAACAGGTAGGACATCAGCACCCAAACACTCAAGCCTCCACTGATGAAGCTCCCTGACCAGGAATGCCTGGCTCCCATTCTGAGAAAGGCTCCCTAAAATGTTCAGAGATAAGAAGCTTTATGCTTTCTAAAAATAGAATCTGGGAGTTATGAATAAGGACAAAATTTTACAAAGGTCTTGATCCTAACACTGCCCTCAAGGGCCCCTGGATAGCTCCCTGGGCAAAGTCTGATCCTGCTCCCTACCCTCATACCCTAAGAAAATAGGGTTAATACCTCCCCAGATGGCTACAGGGAGGATTAAGGGTCATTATTCTTGGCATCCAGCTCTGTCACAGCTCTAGCAGTTGTGACCTTGTATCCTAAAAGAAGATAATATAAAAATGCACACAGTGATCCCCGAATCTGGCTCTATAAGGGGTCACTGAGAATTTTCTTTGCACAGGGCCTCTGATACTGTCTCCCATACTCTGACCTGTTGCTGCATTTTCCCCTTATTGAGGCTTCTCGTTTTTAAGGTATTAGTCACTAATGCCACAAGGTCCTTTGAGGAGTCAGCAACTATTACTAATAGCACAAAGATGGGCCCCAGAATTCTCAGGGTTTCAGTCAGTTTGGAATTTATACTAAGGAAGTCATGAAAGTGGTACCATTTACACCCAAGCCTGGCTCTTGAGGGCAATCACAAGGTCTAGTGTAAAGCATATATTACATCATTTAGTCCTCATAAACCTACTATAAGATAGATACTATCATAAGCCTCATTTTACAGATGAGAAATCTGTAGCTCAGAGAGGACACATGATTTACCCTAGGTCACACAGCTAAGAAGTGGTGGACATGGGTTCAAACATCAGCCCTACCACTACTAGCTGTGTAGCCTCCAGCATATTTCTTAACTTTCTAGTGTCTCAGTTTCCTCATTTGTAAAGTGAGAAAAATGGTAATATCTTCTTTTTTTTTTTAGACAGTCTTGCTTTGTTGCCCAGGCTAGAGTGAGTGCCGTGGCGTCAGCCTAGCTCACAGCAACCTCAAACTCCTGGGCTCAAGCAATCCTCCTGCCTCAGCCTCCCGAGCAGCTGGGACTACAGGCATGAGCCACCACGCCCGGCTAATTTTTTTCTTTCTATTTTTTAGTAGAGACAGGTCTCGCTCTTGCTCAGGCTGGTTTTGAACTCCTGACCTTGAGCAATCCGCCCGCCTCGGCCTCCCAGAGAGCTAGGATTACAGGCGTGAGCCACCGCGCCCGGCCATATCTTTAATATGAAGTGGCAAAGCCTCTGCTTGAATACCTCCAATGATGGGTAACTCACTCCCTCACAGGCAGCCCATTTTGTTTTTAGAAAGCCAAATTCTCTCCTATCAAGCCAAAGTCTACCCTCTTGGAATGTCTGTCATTTAATCCTAGGGTGTCTTCTAGAGTCACACAGAGAAAGTCCAGTTCCCTTTCCTCATGATAATTCTTCAAGTATTTGAAGGAAGGTATCATGTTCCCCCAGACTCTTAGCCTTCATCTTTTCAGCTCTTTCTCATGTGTCACAGTCCCAGAGGCAACTTAATATCACAGAGCAGACAGACCTGGGTTTGAATTCCAATCCTTCCTCTTACTAGCTGTGTGACCTTAAGGAAATTACTTAGCCTGTCTGAATCTGTTTCTTCATATGTATAACAGGAAATATGATTCCCACCTCACAGAACAGTCATGCAGGTTAAACTGGATAAAATAAGACTACTATCTAGAACTGAGCCCAAGATCTACCAGGCCCTTAACAATTTCAATCACTTTTTAGGATATACTTCAACTAGTAAATCTCTCTCAAATTAAATTAACCTGAATTAAACATAACACCAAGGGACTGGTTTCTGATAGCAACAGTCAGGACTTAGGTTTTTAAAGAGGTGTTAGCTAATAAGAAAGCACAACTCAAGGTCCCAAGGGTTCTGTGAGTCCAACAATGTGCAATGGCAGCCCAAAGATGCAGTGGAGGGTGTGAAAAAGTGAGTATGAAAGAAGAAAAGAAACAGGACAGGGCCGGGCGCGGTGGCTCACGCCTGTAATCCTAGCACTTTGGGAGGCCGAGGCGGGCGGATAGCTCAAGGTCAGGAGTTCGAAACCAGCCTGAGCGAGACCCCCCCCCCAGTCTCTACCAAAAATAGAAAGAAATTAATTGACCAACTAAAAATATATATACAAAAAATTGGCCGGGCATGGTGGCGCATGCCTGTAGTCCCAGCTACTCGGGAGGCTGAGGCAGGAGGATCGCTTGAGCCCAGGAGATTGAGGTTGCTGTGAGCGAGGCTGACGCCATGGCACTCACTCTAGCCTGGGCAACAAAGTGAGCCTCTGTCTCAAAAAAAAAAAAAAAAAAAGAAAAAAGAAAAGAAACAGGACAGATCATTAAACCAATGACCCAAAGACAAACATTACCATATTACTTGTTTGTGACTCCCTCTCTGAGACCCAGAACTGCACATGTGGGCCATATCCACTAATTTAAAAGGAGAGAAGAAAGATAAAAATAATTAAAGAACAAGTCACAGTCTGGATCTTCCTCAGCAGTTGGCCCCTCAAGATGCACAGATGTTTGGCAGTGGGCTTCAAGATTTCCAGTTGTGTACTTTCGGATCCTGAAGTACAGATGTGTGAAAATGCCCTACAAATGATGCACGTGTCAATACTGAACTCTTTCCAACTAGAAAGGAGTGCCAATTGCCAATTGTGTGATAGCTCTAAAACTCAAGACTGGTAACTAGACATTAACACCATTATCATAATCATTACACATATTCTCTTTCCCTCAGTGACCTCCAGGGAAGCAGTCCTAGGCAGAAATACGGACTGTTACTCAATTATTCAGCAGAGTTGATCCAAAAGCACTGCTTCTACAAATGGAGGTAAGACGTAAGTACCCCCAAACAGGTCAAAAAAGGAAAGGATAACAGGATCCCAAACTTAAAGCACCATGATCATTGATGACAGAAAAAGTTGTTTTGGCAATGAAATATAACAACCTACAATGAAAAATCTCAGTAGTCTCAGACTCCACCTAAAGGAGCCCCACTAGTTATTCCCTGGTCTGTTATATAGGATCTGGTTATTATACTCAACAGCAAAGATTCAATTCAATCCCTCTAAAGGTATAAGAATTACAAGGAAAAATAAGTTAGAACTCAAGACAGAAATAGGATTAAGTAGTTTCTTCACCATAGTGAGCAAAGACTGGCCACCCAAGGACTCTAAGACACAGAAAAGCTTAGTGCAGGCCACGGGGCATACCTGTCCTGTAGGAGGAGATTTCATAATGTCTTTGAGTCAGAATGTGCGTTCAAAATAGTTTTCTTCTCAAAACTGTTTTAGGCTTTGTTAAACAGGGAACACTTAATTGTCACTTTAACCTGATCATCGACCCCATCCTTGAAAAGAATAAGGAAGCTATAGCCATTCTGCCAGGCTCCTAAACTTGAGAGAAAAACTTTCAAGTTGCTCTACCACTACCTTAAGAGGTTAAAGAAAGTCAAAGAACAGAACTTTGGAGGAAACAGTCAAATTAGGCTGTTAGTCTTAAGGCCCTGATACCTCTTCTCCAGAAACCATTGGAGTATATACACCTGCAAAGGAGAAAGAGCCTGAGGGCACCAAGCAAATTCAACCCGGAGAGCGATCCACTGTAGCTTTCAGTAACAAGAATTGGATCCTACTGGTTGGTAGTCTATCTCCTCACTTCCTATTTACCCTTCGAAGTGGGTACTGAAAAGCCCATTCCCAAGTAGAGGCCCTTTGTACAGGGCACTACAGTCGCCTGGTGGAAACACCTTGGCAGAGTTCGTTTTGGTGCCAGGATGGGCTACTGAGGGAATCTGCGGTGGAAGAGAGAGAGAGAGAGAACACATACTAAGAGGGCAAGGCAACGTTGCACGTTGCCCTCCCAGCATTTACACCTGCCCCTCTTCCTGAGATCGGAGCCAGATCAGATGTCAAACAAAAACTCCACAAAAAAGTCCCAAGATGGAACGACTTCCACCTCTCCCTCAGTAGAGCCTCCGGGGATTCCCACAGCCTTCCCCCCGGCGTCCTGACCAGCCCTCCGGCCCAACCCCGCCCCCGGCCCACTCTGCCCTCAGACCCAGCAAGGCCTGACCCTTCTCGGGACACCCCGGGGCCCCGAGGCGGGCGGACTCAGGATCCAGGCCGGCAGGGCTGGAGCCGGCCCAGAGCTGGCGGCCCGTGTGCCGAGGCTGCGGGAGCCGGTCTCCGCCTCGGCGCCTGCGGAGGGCAGGGGGCGGCGGCGACTCGTACCTGTCAGGTCTCTTCCCCGGACCCGCAGAGGCGCAACTTCAGGAGCCCATGTCCGTCCGGGGGGGCCGGCCCCTCTCCCGGGAGTGAGGGCGCCGATCCCGGGGAGGGGGCTGGGGGGCCCGGGCAGCTCTAGCCTCTTCCCATGCTCTCCGCCCGGCGCCTGGCCGGGGCCGGACAGCGCCTCCGCCCGCCCCTGCGCACCGCCTCACACCCGCGCTCACACACACTCACACTCCCTCGCGCGCTCTCACACACGCACTCCCCTCCCTCCTCCTCCTCTGTTTATCTCCTCCAGCTGTCTGGGGACCCAGGAGAAGCCCAGCACCGCGCCTGCGCCACGCAGTCTCCGCCCCCGCCCCACGCCTCACAGCCCGCGGCTACGCTACGGAGACAGCGCCCGGGCGTTTCCAGAATGGCAGGGCAGGCCCCCGATCCCGCACGTCCCCCGGGGCCCGGTCAACGTCCGCTGCTGGCGGCGCCCACTAACCTGCTAGTGGGGGAGCTCCGCACCGCCGCGGCCAATCCGCTTCGCCGCTCGCGGGACCGGCAGCCAGTGGGCGGGCGGGAAAGCCGGGCTGGACCCTGGGGCATCCTGGGAGTCGTAGTTTTTCGCCACGGAGGAGCTCTAGCCGAGCGGGCTTACCCCGCCCGGTTGCCATTAGTTACCCAGACGCACCTCCCACCCCACCACCGCGCTTCTTCACACCGCTGCTGGGACACCCGCCCACTCAGTTGTCCATTGCCCCCAAGAACCCCATACAGCCCTCTAGGAGCTCCTCAAGACTTCCTCTGAGCCCCTGAATTGCGTGACCCCCCATGCTAGGGCCCTAGGGCCCCCAAGAACGGAGCCTCAGCCTGCTTCTTCCTGCTCTCTGGGCTGCTGAAGAAGCACATTCTTTACTCTTGTCTCCTAGCCCTGAAGGAAACGGATACCAGAAAACCGGCCCTACACTAAGTGGCCTGGTCAGCCACACACACTCTGGGAACCCTCAGGCAGGTGGGAGAGACAAGGTCCCTCTGAGACTGGTGAAAACACTGCTGTTCCCACCTCTGAGGTAGAGAGGCAGTTTTCAGCCTTGTAGAGTCCCAAGTCTGATAGAGGAGACACCTGTAAGGAAGTTCCCAAGGTAACAAGGGAGACACTATGTCTAACTTCCTAAGGAAGAGACCAGGCCCCACCCACGAGGAACTTCAAGTCAGAGGTTACTATCATCATCTTCTGAGAAGGGAAACTTGTCACTCTCTAAGAGGGTGCCATTTGCCAAATAATTCGTTTTTATTCACACTGAATTGGGTATAGTTCCTTAGATAGGTACTATTGCTGTCTGTGTTTTGCAGAAAAGGAAAAGAAGCTGAAGCACAAAGAAGTTAAGAGCAACTTGCCCAGAGTCACAGAGCTGATAAGGAAGCAAATTGGGATTCAAACCCAGATCTGCCTGACTCCAGAGTCTCTGAGTCTTTGAACCCTGCCTGTCTCTCATGTGAGAACCAGGCATCACCTCAGGAAGAACTGAATATACATATTTAGCATTTACAGTGTTTGTCTCATGTTTATCATCCCATTGCTTGCTTTTCCTGATTCTGCTCACATGATGAGTATGAATTAGTCTATGAGCTCCCCAAAGTGATTTCTCCCCATTTAGTAAAGAACTTACCCTTGTGAATTCAGCTTACAAATCCTTTCATGCCTTTCTCCTAAAAATGTTGTAGGTCATTCCTCTTGACCCCTCCCTGACAGCTGTTCCATTGAATATTAAAAAAACCATAGAACATTGGGACTAGAAGAAAGCTTTGAGGTTTTCTATCCATAGCTCCTCAGGTTCAGGCTGCAACCTTGGCTAGGGTCATTGGGTCAATTAAACTGAATAATAGCTAACATTTATTGAACACTTACCATGGGAGTAACACTTACGAGTGGATTAAGCAACACTCCCACAATCACATAGCTAGGAAGTAGTACAGTTGGGATTAAAATTGAGACTATATGAATCCAGAACCGCCATTCAAAACCCTTGGTTTGTGGTGGCAAGGCCACGGACTATCTCAGAAATATTAATACCAACAGAGAAGGGTGGGTGTTGTTTCTGTGATTCCTAGCCCAGTCCACAGCTCCTAGAAAACACTCTGTAAATATTTGTTGTCACAATGAACTTTTGTTGATAAAGAGTGGATGACAGGAAAAAAAACAATAGCTGCAGCTGCTATTTATTATTTTCTACCAGGTATTCACTTGTGCTCATGCTTGCATTCTCTCTCTCTCTCCGTCTCCATATAGGAATGCATATATATGTATATATATATATATATATGTATATATACATATGTATATACACACACATATGCATACATTTCACACACACTAACTCACTTGACCCTTCCAATCACCATGTCTGTTAGATGTTATTCTTATACCCCTTTCATATAGAATAAGCAGAGACTCACAAGAAGGTTAAGTTCAGAATCAGACATATCTCCCAGCCATAGATGTTTTCAGATTAAGAGTAAATTTTCTAACCAATAGAGCTGGGCTACTTTGAGAGGTGGTAAGCTCTCTGTCTCTGGTAGTATTCAAGCACAGGCTATATAATCATGTGTCAATGACATTCTAGAAACAATTACTGTATTAGGTAGATATTTAAGTGACCAATTCCAATATTTTCTGATTTGGCTTTGGAAACAGACAAGGATTACTCTAATAAAGCTTGTGGCAGTGAATGGCAGCTGCTTTTTCTGTACTAAAAGCATCAGTAATGCCACAGTTGATTGCTGGCTCTGCAGAGGTAGTCACTGTTACCATTGTTTTCATATCCTGATTGGATTCGTGGACAAAGGGGGGAATAATCAACCAATAATTGAAGATGCTTATATTTTACATGCCAGTAATTTTACTTCTCATACCGCAGAGGAACTTTTCCATGTGTGTGGAAAAGTTATTATAATAGTGTTGGGAAGAGTATCCTTGGCCAAGGATACTCTTCCCAACACTATTATAATAGCAAAAAGAGTAAAAACAACCTAACTGTCTTTCTGCAGAGAAAATCAATGGATAAATTGTGGTTTATTCATACAATGAAGTACTATCTATATAATCAATTAAGTGATTTACATGCAATTTTTTTTTTTTTTTTTTGAGACAGAGTCTCACTCTGTTGCCCTGGGTAGAGTGCAGTGGCATCATCACAACTCATTGCAACCTCAAACTCCTGGGCTCAAGCGATCCTCCTGCCTCAGCCTCCCAATTAGCTGGGGCTAAAGGTGGACACCACCATGCCCAGCTAATTTTTTTTCTATTTTTGGTAAAGACAGGGTCTTGCTCTTGCTCAGGCTGGTCTCAACTCCTGAGCTCAAACAATCCTCCTGCCTGGGCCTCCCAGAGTGCTACTATTAGAGACATGAACCACCACACCTGGCCTCCATGCAATTGTAATAAACTTTATTTTATTTTATTTTCTTGAGACAGAGTCTCACTTTGTTGCCCAGGCTAGAGTGAGTGCCGTGGCATCAGCCTCGCTCACAGCAAGCTCAAACTCCTGGGCTCAAGCGATCCTACTGCCTCAGCCTCCTGAGTAGCTGGGACTACAGGCATGCGCCACCATGCCCAGCTAATTTTTTGTATATATATTTTTAGTTGGTCAATTAATTTCTTTCTATTTTTAGTAAAGACGGGAGGTCTCGCTCAGGCTGGTTTTGAACTCCAGACTTCGAGCAATCCGCCCGCCTCGGCCTCCCAGAGTACTATGATTACAGGTGTGAGCCACCACGCCCGGCCTGTAATAAAGTTTAAAAACATAATAATGAGTGAAAGAATAAAGTTGAAAGATAATACATTCAGTATGACATTTATGTAAAATTTAACACAAAATGTCATATATTTATAGGTACATATGTAGAAAAGTACAAAAAGTTAAACGTGGCTGGGCACGGTGGCTCATGCCTACAATCCTAGCACTCTGGGAGGCTGAAGCTGGAGAATCACTTGAACCCAGGAATTCAAGGTTGTGGTAAACTATGATCATGCCACTGCATTCTAGCCAGGGCAACAGAGCACAATCCTATCTCAAAAAAACAAATAACAGGCCGGTGCAGTGGCTCATGCCTGTAATTCTTGCACTCTGGGAGGACAAGGCAGGTGGAATGCTCAAGGTCAGGAGTTCCAAACCAGCCTGAGCAAGAGTGAGACCCCTGTCTCTACTAAAAAACAGAAAGAAATTAATTGGTCAACTAATATATATATAGAAAAAAATTGCCAGGCATGGTGGTGCATGCCTGTAGTCCCAGATACTTAGGAGGCTGAGGCAGCAGGATTGCTTGAGCCCAGGAGTTTGAGGTTGCCCTGAGCTAGGCTGATGCCACGGCACTCTAGCCTGGGCAACAGAGTGAGACTGTCTAAAAACAAAACAAGCAAAAAAAACCCAAATAACAAATTTCATTGTTTAGAAAATAATAACAAAAGAACTACTACTTCCTTTTATTTCGTTTAGGACTTCAGGTTGCAAAGCCTTTTGGGAGTACAATCTAGGTCACCATGAGAAAGTGTTGAAACCCACTGATTTCAGATAGTCCCTTCATTTGATCCAGGAGG